TCTTGCCAGGCACTGACTGTGCTTTGAGATTGGATGTCAAGTGAGAGAGGTTTTGGACCAATAGAAGGCAGGAAACAGTAGAAACTTCTCGAGAGATCCTGCTCTATGTCCCATTCTGTGGTACTGAGAAAAGCAGTGGGCCATGAGCTGGGGCCCTTTTGCCAGGGGAAGCAGTACAAACACGATTTCTTTTTGTTTGGCAGCAGGAGCAAGCAGCACGCAAACATCTTGCTAATCATGCTGCTGTAGGAAATGGGAACTCAGCCAGGTGTACATGGAGCAAGGAAAAACCCCAAAATGAAGTGAGCTAATATTATCACCAACCTCATTGTGAAGAACCATAAGGGAGAAGGAGAGGGGCTAAGCGAGGTCATGAAAAATGATCAAATTCTCTGTGAGTGCATACACACAAGTGTATGAGTACTTTGACAAAAGCTAGTGGTGGATTGTTGAGAGGCCAATGCAGCTAAGTTCCTGCTTTGTTACATAGATAAATTGCCAAAGGAAACATTATCCAAACAGTTCTACTTCAAAGGCAAAATGACAAGCTTTGGGGAACTTGCGGTACTTTCAATCTGGCCAATAACCAAGTGTAAAGTGTAAAATATACATGTTTAGGAAGTAGGACACATGCCGTTCAAGACAGGCCTTTCCCATGCTCTCAGACCAGTGCAGCTCCATTTGATGTGCAAATGCATGATGTGTGATCTGTCCTGGCAGTGTGCTGCCTGCCAGCAGCACAAACATTTCACAAGCACCCTTTTGGGTTACTCCAGCCTGCTGTGTGCACGGCCTCCTTGGCAGCCTCTGCAGCTGGAGCTTTTCTTACAGTCTGTTGCTGTTGTGCTTGCACAATCCACGTTTATTTAGCAGGTCCCATCAAGAGACTTCAGGCAGATAAAGACATCTTGAAAGCATCCTGTAGTTGCAGGAATTGATGCTAGATACTAGGATTAAATGACAATACAAAGAATGGTTACAGTAATGCACTGGGGAATATATCAGCAGTGCAGACTTCATTGATCCTTAAGGCAAATTGTCCCAGCAGATGTCCCAGCCTCCCTGGACATTGGAGACTTCAGGGTATTACAGCTGATAGCAAAGGCCCTCCATAATTTGTGTTTATAAATTTCGCCTGAAATCAGGTGGAAAAATATTCCCTGCAGTGCTGGGAAGCCAAAATGTATGTGCTCTGCACATACAGCCTCTGGTATTTGATGAAACTCACCCTATAAACCCATGAAAAGTAACAGTGCAAATGCTCACCATGGAGAAGCAGTGGATTGTAGGTGCAGTCCCTCTTTTCTGTATGGCTTGAGTGGATTTAAATTTGTGATATCAAAAAAATAATTGCGGTCTTTACGGTGTAACTGAGCTCTAGAGTACCTGTGCTGGGAGTTTGAGGCTGGTTTTTAGTGGGGGTTCAGGATGCAAACTCAGCTGTCAGAACTATTTCAAAATCAACCATTCTTATGCACCAGGGGCATGCAGATGTGCTTTTTCTCCCTCTCTAACAATTAGCTAAGGGGATTGGGGACATTATGCAACAGCTCTGGTGACTTACCCTGGTTGTAGCAAGAGGCAAGTCAGCCCTGTGCCTCTACTCACTGTCTTTGGGACACATTCTCATTCCTGCATGTGTTTGCAGCCTCTAGGCCTAAGTCTTAGATAACCAGGTGCTGAGCACTACCCAGTGTAGCAGCTGTGGCCACAGGCAGCTTAACCTGCTCTGCACCACTGAAATGACTGAACTTGCACTGCAGCCAGCTGTAATCATCTGTTACTTGTGTTAACCTTGAATTCCAGCGTGTCAGTTCCAGTCCTCTGAGAAAAATTAGGAAAGTGCTTATTGAAACCAGCATCCCAGCACTCCACATTGTGCTGTGTGGAAGAGGAAAGTGGGACTTCAAGCCTTAGTAGTAGCATATCCTAGCCACACTTTAATCATGTGGAATTATACCACTACTCTCATCCTCTAACTCTTACTAATCTGTCCTTATATGTGGTCCAACTTCATGCTGAAGTCACCCAGTTTGCTTCAGAAGCCCCTGAGCTTTCTGGCAGGGCCATACATACCTGTGCACCCCGATACCTGTGCACTTTCAGTTGACACAGAAGTACAGTGAAGATACAGAAAGAATTAATCAACTACGCATTTAATGAGGGCAAAGAAGAAAGATGTGTTTTATGCAGCTGTAGTCTAATGTGCTGAGAGAAGTCTGTCTGAATGGGTTGGGAATGCTGATGGCATCTAATAGCCACAGAGGCTTTTCCTGCTTCCTGATAGATACAGCACTGTGAATATCAGTCATTGTGGTATGAAGTTGTTATGAGAGAAATAACTTCCTGTGTTGATGGACTTAGCATGCAGTAAATGGAGACGTATGGATGCAAATGTAAGGTGGTGAATGTAGCTCCCCAGAGCTCTAGGTGTGACCATGCAGAGTCATAGCTAAACAGCACAGTATATTGCTTGTCTTTGTCTTCCTCCCTAGCTCAACTGCTGCCCTGAATTCAGTGGTATTATGGTTCTCTTTTTTCCAGGACAGAACTGAGAAATAAGAGGGCACTGTGTCCCACAGTTTCACTGTGTATGCATGGCAAGTTTTTTCATCCTTGCCTTCATGGGGAGAAATAGCATTCTCTGTAACGTGGCACCAGTAAATGTGTGAATGCTATCCAAGTAGTATCAATATCCATTGCTTTGTCTGAAGGCTGCAGAACTGAAATTGTTTTTGCCTTACTTCACATCCTTTTATCAGAAGAAATGCATTATTTCTGAACTCTCCCTTCACTACACCTGCACACACTTTTATTGATACATTCCCTTTCACTGGCTGGAGCTCCACAGAATACTTGTTTACTATGGACTAAACTTTGTTCCCTTCATTAGATGAGAACACTCCTTGTTTTCAGTGGGTCCAATGACAACCTTCCTCCATTCAATTTGCTTTCAGTAAAGCACTCCATTGCTTGTACCTGTGTGACCACTTGGAATGGTGAGACAGGTTGCAAGCAGGTCAGAGAGATGGGGAATATGGAAAGGGCTAATTGTCCACTCACCGTCCCATGACAGAGCTGTCCGTGCCACTAGTTAAATAGAAATGATACTCTGCTTAATATATACCTGATATCCCAGGCTTTCAAGAACAGTACTCCTTCTTGAGAATGCATTTTACCTCCTATTATTAAGTTCTATTCTCTTTTATCCCATCTATTCTAGTCAAGTTACTTTATTGTCCTTGCCTGTAGACTGTTGGTTAAACCAGCAGTATTACTCTGTGACACTGAGGTCTGACCATTGCTTGCCACACAATGAAGTGCCTTGGCCATATTAACTGAGTAGTTACTTAACCTAAATAGGCACCATTTCAAAAGAGGAATGCAGTTCCTGGCAATGAAAGTAACCCTGGAATAAAGGGATTGCTTGAGGGAGGGTTGGACAGTACCTGGCCATGTGAATTTTATTGGTGGTCAGATAACATTCAGTCTATCCTTTTCCCATTTTAGCATTTTGAAATTAAAGACAGTGGAATATCACTCCATAAAAGATCTGAGTGTTAATTTAATCATCTCTGTGACTCATCTACTAGAGAAAGAAAAGGCATCACGATTTTTTTAGACATTGTCCAAAAATCAAGCTGTGATATAGCAGTTTGTAAGGATGCCCCACTGTTTTTGAAGATTTCAGACCTGCCCAAATAGCTCAACTTTATGACCGCAAGGGTGAGGATGAACTCTGACTAGGACCTAGATCTGCAATTCACAAGTGTTTTTCGTACAGCTGCAATAATATTCCAGAAAATGTAATTGGCCTTTTACTTCATTCACTTTTGCAAATGAAAATAAAGCTACTGTGAGAGCAGATCTTTTGCTAAGAAAATATTTTTTTAAATATTTTTATAGCTCTGTCAACAATAAAGGAGTCTCACAGTCTAAAGTCTTTCTCTAAACCTTTTTAATGGAAAAAACTTCATAGAAAATATCCTTTTACTTCTTTAATAACATATAACTATATACATGATTAAAAACTGTAACAAAAAGCTGCAGGGACTGGAAAAATGTTTTGTTGGATCCATGCAGATGGTACATCTAAAAAAGGATTTCACAAATCCATGTACATCAAATGAAGCTGCAGTGACAGGGTTGAAAAAAATGGCAACTCTATATTATTTACCTGAATGTATTGGGAATAAAGCACAGACATACAAAATACACAAAAAGAATACAAAAGAGTACATGGTGTAAATGCTGTTAGCACAGGAAGTTTCTTTTTTAAGTAAATAGGAGAAAAGAAGTAAAATCTCCTTTTTCACATTTTATATTGCAGTTTAAAAGATAACTAATCTCTTACTTGCTGTATTTTGTTTTTCTTCACTCTGACAAATACTACAGTAGAAGTATACGGCATTTGAATTTAACAACTCAGGAATACTTGTATTTATCTCCATGTCTGTGAATGTACTGTCAGTTCTGAATAAGAACATGTATAAGTATTGCTTTAAAAACACATATACAGTTTGACATGAGTTATGAAATATTGAGGGCCACCACATTACAAAGTGCTGGACGCTCTTGTCCTAATCCAGCAGTATGTTGAAGGACACCTACAATTCCAAATCTAAGAGGAATTCTCAGAGAGTAAAGGAAGCTAAGAATGTGCAGAAATTATTTGCTGATCAGGTCTGGAGTTTTCAACAGTTCATGGTATAGGCTCTGCAGCCAGGAAAACCTATACCTGAGGCCATAATTCTGTCCTTACACCCCAGATAATGTAGCTACACAGGGTAGATGATTTACTGTACTTTTAAAATAGATTTCCTTAATTCTAAATTAAAACATAAAATGAAACCTGTTTAAAAAAAAGTCTGGGGAATCGATGAGCTCTGCAGCTGGAAAGAAGAAAGATATAGTGTTTAGTGTGTCAGTTACAAGTTGGAAGAGATTCCGTGGGCAGCAGGTAACGATGTGACAGGCTTTAAACACCTCACTTCTAGAAGTACTTGCTCATATTTTTTATTCTGGGCCAAAAAAACCCCAAACATAATTGAAAAGTCAGTACCAGCCAGTAACACTACTTGAGGTTCACAAGCACGGTGAGCATGGCAAGCTGTCTTTCAGTAAAAAAATAAAGTCAGGCTTAATTTTTGACAGGTGGGCTTTGGCTGGGTTCTTCTTGCTGTAACCTAATGATTCCCAGTGTAATCACAGGCAGTTTAATGGCAGACAAATAAATGAAGCCTGCCTATGCATATACTTGTTTAAAAAAAGAGAAAAGGTGAAAGCAACAACAGTAACAACAACAACAATAACAAAACTAGACAAGCAGTGAAAGCTGAAATATTCTGTGAAGCCTTGGGATCTGTTCCTGTTCTCGTTAACACCCTCCCACCCTGTCTGGCCTTGCTCTTTTGGCAGGCAGGTAAAACTGTTCAAGTTCCTGTAAGTGAAGGAGGACTTTTTGCTTCTAGCACAACATAAAGTAATTATGAAAATAAGCTTTGAAATCCAAATCACCATGAGCCATGAAAGCCAGACCTCACTGATAAGTATCTGGCTTTCATTGTCTGTATAGTGGATTGATTCCCTCCCCAGTGTGACTGTGCTAATTGGAAAGTTGCCAGTCTGCCAGGTTTGGGGTCATCACCGTTCAGAGCCTCTAATTTTTTAAGATCATCAGTGTTAGTGTTGTTCATTGTTAGTGTTTTGGGTAAAATCTGGCTTATAGAGCCCTGGTCGAAACAATGTCAGTACGAGGCAGGTCTGTTTGAGAAGGCAACCTGAAAGCAGTGAGACTTATTTTGTTTATTTAAAGAAGAGATAAATGTGTGTGTGCATGCATTTGCATTTAACAGTTTTATAGCTAGAACCGTTATTAAATGATGCCCAATAGCAATTTTATCTCTTGTAATGATTTCTTTTATAAAGATGTAATGATTCTCAGGAGAGTTTTATGAAAACATGCAGAGCTGGTTTGCATTATGTATGCAGTTATGTGCCCAGTATATATGTTGCAACTTAATTTCTTAAATATATATTGTGTAACACTTTTTATTCCTGAGTGCTGGTCTCCATAAGGAATAGAGAAGGTGGCATCACGTGCTCTTCTGCACAACACGGTCCTTCATCATTTTAGGAGTTCTTCTGAGGGATCTTTATTGTCACAGTTTTAACTTCAGAATATTCTCTCAATCCACATTCACCCCTGGAAAACAGATTGCAGCATCAGCTTATACCAGATATCAAGCAAAAACCTGTGAAGTGATTTCTTGATAAAGTTAAGATATAACCTAAAATTCCAGTTCAGTTTAGGTCAAAATAACAGTGGATGGCTCCAACATTTGATAAGGAGATACAGAACGTTAAACTCAGAAATACTCATTGTTGATGGAAATTTTGGGAGTGAATTGATGTCCTCTGTCTTTTCCAGCCCTTGAAAATGTCCAAACACCAAGACCTACACCACTGGCCAGTGAAATTACTGCTTATATTTGCATCAAGAAAGAGAAGGTCCACACTGAGCACAATGAAAAATGAACTACTCACAACCCTGCATAAAGATGAACTTGATTCGTAACCCACTGATCTTTTTTCCCTGACAAAATATCCAGCAGTAGGAATTCACCATTTGCACATGCTGTGGAAGAGGGTTCAGTTTGCTCAGATTCCCTCTAGATTTCTGCAGAAAACCTCTTTTTGTCCTGGCACAGCACCTTACATAAGATCCTCCATACTGCTAAAAGCCAGCTACTTCCTTAGTCCCAGCCACCTGACACATGGCTCTGAGGGGCACATGCTCTGCCTGGGATAAATTATGCTTAAGAAATGTGTGTAGCTCTACACAACTGTTGGACACATTTTTGCAAGCCAGCAGATAACCTGGCCAACAGCATGGCCAGCGATTTTATCTATGTCTGAAGTAGAATGGCACTTCTTTCCCTTGCAGACATGTGGACAGAAACCAGAATTTTGGGGAACTCTAATGTAAAATGGCCACGTGTGTGTATCTGGGATGAGTCACCCAATTTTTTGTTACAGGAGTTATATTTTACATCGTCCAGGTAGTGACATGAAGCTTTAAAGAAGCATGAATGCAAAAAAACCATGTCTTTTAGACCCCTTCAAGAATACAAGAATATTTTAAGCAGCCTTAATGCAAACAGAAATCAGCTGCATTGTGGACATGAGTTCTGGTTCTCTACTGGGATGCACTTTTGTGGAAGTGTAAAATGAATATAATAGATTTCAGCTTTCTGAAATTTCAGCTTTATTTTTTGCCCATGTGTGATGAAAACCTGTGAATTTAAATGCAGGACCAAAACAAGTCCCAGATAGTACAGGCAGCACAGTGGCACAGTTATGATCTGGCTGTAACACAGTATTAGCTTAGCAATGACATACTTATGTATGAACACTGGTGGTTTTTTTTTTTTCTTTAATTACCTGACTCAACATTATTTATGCTGTAAAATGTATCCCCTAAAAACAAGGATCTAAGAAACTGTGGCATTTTAATAAAAGGTATGCAGGTATTAATGCAGGGTGGGGGAGGTGAATTAGGAGGTGATATCTGATCAAAGAGGTTCTGAAAGAGTAGAATAGTTACTCATAAGTAGGTTTTCAGGCATCTTTGTGAGATGGAGATTATTGCCATTCCAAACATTTATTGTTTATGATGAATAATTTCAAAGCTGTAGATGGGAATCAAGTGTGCAGCTACCATAGATTTTTCCATGGGAGCTGGGGCACTGCCTGGTTTCCCCCCTCTCAAGGACTCCACGACACAAATACGTGAATATTTTGCTTGCACAGTGAACCTCCCTGGAGTCAGTGGGGTCGCTCTGGGGTGTCAAGTTACTCATGTGCTCTATCGAGCTTAGTAGTTTTAGAATATTTTCACAATGATAAGAGTTAGATGAGCTGACATATTTATGCCAGTGTGAGATCACCTCATAACTCATGAATGTGGAGAATAGTATGAATGTGTTATTCAAAGTACTCCCTAACGAGGGAAAATACTTCAGACTACATAGAGCTTATTTTATAGATCAAGTTGTATACTTCAACATATTTAAAGTTTTAAAGAGTTTGACCTTACTTTAGTTTTACTGCTGAGTTTGCTATTAGCCATGAGCTATTTTGAAAACTTAGGTGAGACATATCTGGTATACATACATGCCTCCTGCACAGAAATTAATTGAATCCTTTGTATGTAACCAATCTGGGGCTGATGCAATTGCTAAACTTCCTTGTGATTGTAATGAGAATGAAAAACTGGTAAGACTTGAAATTAGGTACATGGGACAGTTTTTGAGTGTGGAGCTCCATTTCAAAATATTTGGCACTTCGTTCTAAGTGGAATAAGAAAGGCAGAAAGCTTTGTAATGGAAAGTGATTTTTTGAAAGGGATGTAAACACATTTGTCTCCTTCTCTAGGCCTGATTTCATTTAACATTGTAAATCTGAAAGCTGATAACTTTTTTATAAAATTCAGATGACCTATATTAATAAATATAGTAAAAACTGAAGAAAGAAAAGGAAAAAAAGCAAGAGAGGCAAAATATATGGCAAAAGAACTCTGAAACAAGTACACCAAACCAGTTAACAAACACACAGTAGTACCAAAAAGAGGGTCTTTCTGAAAAAGTAATGGTTAATATGGCTAAAAGAACTTTCAGAAAACACACTTTTCGAGTTCAGAAAAATACTCAGAAATTTGAAGCTCCTTTCAGGATAAGAAGAGAGTTCCAGTAAGTTAGTTCGCAATATTAAAAAAAGCCAGAAAAGTGGTCTCACCGTGCAAATCAATTGCATTAAGTACTTGCAATGATTAAAAGTTATCATATGCCCTGATTCTCAGGTTGGAGTATTTCTGATCTTAATTTGCATGGAAGGATTCACTAATATTTATTAAGTTGTAGAGTTGAAAACAATTTAGAAAACAGCAGTGTAATACTTACATCTCTCTCCCATTGCCAGACATTTTGAATCCTCCAAAAGGACTTTGGGCATTTAAGGCATTGTAGCAATTTATCCTGTAACAGGAAGAGGCATTTAGTCCAGCTGCACTGTCAGAGACCTTTGGATAACTGAGGGAGAGGCTGAAACTTGTGGAGCTAAGGACACTGTATTCCTCTTAGTAATAACAAACTTGTTTCTTGTTGAAAAGAAATGAGGGATTTATGCTGAAAAACCCCATTCTGCTCCTTACTCATAAGGAGAATGGGATTTGACCTGTGAGGACTGGAGAGAGAGGACCCCACAGTTGGACACAGCTTCAGTAATGAACTGTTAATCTGCTGACAAACCTCAGTGCCAGTTTATAACAAAGAGCTGTTACATTTGAATTTGCCCTTTTTCTCCCTAATTTCTTGCAGATCTTTCATTTACCCAGGCTTGACATACTAAATTTTAGGCTAGTGAACTCTAGAGGTGGCATTACATATTCCTAAGGACTGAAGAGGATGTGTCGCCTCAGTTCCTTAATGTAGAAAGTACTCAATTCTTTGTGCCTTGGGCAGAAACTTCACAGGATTCCTCTTCTGTGCACAGAGGATCATTTATACCGTTTGTTTTCAGTAATGCCATTCAGCAATGGCAAGGTGCTTTCCATTTCCAACAGCATTCCCCAGCAGGGAGCAGTCCCAACACCCCCCTGCAGCTGTTCCATGTCTTGGCTAGTGATTCACCACTAGGACTGTCTAGATAAATATTTTTAAAGAAAGGGTGCAAGACTGAGGTGACATAATGATAGTGACTCAAACTCTTTGTCTTCAAGAGCAGGAGTGTGATAGCTTGTACTTACCAGACTGTCCCAGCCTGCATTGCTGAAGAGACTGTCAGGGCCTTGTTTATGTCGTTTGTAAAGACAGCAGCTACCAGCCCAAAATCAGAATTGTTGGCTCTCTCTATAACTTCATCCATGGTTTTAAATCTCAGTATTTCTTGAACGGGCCCAAAAATCTGCAACAAAGATTAATCATCTGTTGTTAAACTAGCCCACTCAGAGGCATTTCATTCTGCTTTTTTATTTATCTTCTCTCTCCTGTTCCTGCAGCAAGATTTAATAGTGATAATATCTGTCTGTAAAACCACATGAATTTCCCAAAGCAGCTACCTCAGTGGAACTCACCCATTCTACCTTTGTCTCCTCTTTGAGGTCTGAGACCTTACAGCCAATGACAAAAATTGAGCTTCCTTACCCAACTGATGTCAGCTGCTGTGTGCATAAGGAGTTCTGAAAAGATTTTATTAGTTTTTTAAAATATAGTGGTAATTTTCACTCTGAAGCTTTTGTCTCAGGAATTAAACAGAAGCAAAGTCCTGTTTAGGATATTCTAAAATGATCTTGTGCAAATACCTCCTCCTTGGCAATCCTCATGTCATCTGTTACATTGGAAAACACTGTAGGTTCAATGAAGAAGCCTCTTCTTCCTAATCCTTTACCCCCACATTCGAGTTTTGCTCCTTCTGTAATTCCACTTTGAATAAGTTCCAAGATCTTGTTGTATTGTTTTTTATCAATCTGAAAGAGAGAAGAAGTTATTTGAATTGCAGACCAGGTACTTGACAGTGGAGTCAAAATAGGGCTTTTTAGGCAAGTCATGTCCCAGTGAGTAGGCTCATGCTTATATTCACTACTCTTTGAGCTGGAGAGGCAAAGACCTACAGGTAGCTGCTGACTGTAACCTTGGGCTCAGTCTTCTTAAGGATGTGTTCCCTTATGTCTGTGGCTCAACCTGCATTCTTGCTACACAATCTAGTTTATAAGCACAAAAAAGCAGATAATTGATTTTAGTCCCAAGTTAACTTCCTGAAAATGGTATAAGCCCAGCTAGTTATTAGTGGCAGGACTATTTTCTAAAGACTTATCTCTGCTTATGCTCATTATTAGCTTAGAATTCATGGGCCTACAAGCACAGTTATGGTTGTAGACAATTCTTGGAAGTCAGTGCCCACAGAGACTTTTGAGAGTTTCTCCGAGTTTAAAGCTGTATCTTGGGGGCTGAAGATCCAGATGTTGCTCTTGAAACTGGGAGGCAAATATTGATATTTAGGATGAGATTTTTTAATTAACAAGAAGCACCTCAGAGCTGCACAGATTATCTGATCCTTTAGAATTTTAATCTTGAAAACATGTTTTCAGCTACCGTGGACTGTGAGTGAGTCCTGACCTCTGTCTTAGTGGAATTTAAACACTTTCAGGCACCTCCTGGGCTGTAGAGCTGAAGCACTGTTTCTTTACCTGTGGACCTTGTTCTGTAGTTGGGTCAAAAGGGCTCCCCACAACTCTCCTCTTTGCACGTTCCACGCTTCTTCTGACAACTTCTTCATAGATTGATTCTTCCACGTAAATCCGTGAGCCTGCAGTGCAGCACTGACCTTGATTGAAGAACACCCCTTGGTGAGCTTGTTCCACAGCATAGTCCACTAAAAAAACCAAGGCAGCACATGTTGCACTGAAACACTGTAGCGAAATCTGCTCTTGCATCAGTGTCATGTGTATTACATAGTGCCACATTCCCAAAACTTCAGAAGTAGGATTTTGTTAAAAAAAACTGAATCAAAACATACTATAATTTTATCAGGTCAGAAATGAAGTTGATTCGTTTTTGTGTCATAATTCCTGTGAAAATACAGAACTTTTAAACATGTCCAGAAATGATTTTTTCCTCATTTTTCCACCCTGGACACAGCTGTACTGGAGGTACAACTAACACATTCTCTATCCAAGCAGGAGAGAGGATCCAGCCATATTTAGATATTCAGAGCTACATTCTTCCATTGGGTGTAATAGCTGATGAGACAAGAATAATGAATTCATCCCTAAACAGTGCTGCCCTACAGCACTGCACTACCTCTGTTACCAGCTGTAGCACTTTGGAACAGTGCTTAAAGTATAATCTTCTGTGGACTAAACAACGCAACTGTCCTTTACTTTCAGCACATTCTAGACAGCTCCATCTAACAGAAATATCTTATTCTGCCCTCAATGTGGTCTTTGGAAAAATTATATGGCGTGTTCCCTGGACCACATTCAAATTTTCCCAGGCAGCTCCATGGAGATCGAAAACACTGCTGGATATATGGGATTAACTGATGTTTCTTCCTCTATTGTTAACTGTTTTTCACCATGAAGGGGTCTAACCATTCTCCTCTCGGGTTTTTTGTGCACTAAACTTTCAACAGCTTTATCATGCTTTCTGCTAACTTTTGGCACACAGTGTTTCTCAAGCAGAACAAACAGTTCATTTAGAATGACGAGCAAATTGCTGTTCTTAAATAATCAGCGCTTTGAAGTCTAAATCTTAGGTCAAGTGCTGGAGGTTGTAATTGTGGGAAGACCAGAGAGCTTTAGAGAGCTTCTCCTGTGGAACCAACAGTCTTGACGAAGACTGTGCTCTGCTTTGTCTGTTATTCCCCTGTTGCCTGCAGCTTCATCACAGAAAAACAACAGCTCTGTGTGGCAGCCAGGAGCAGTTGTTCTTCCCCTAGGGAAGGTCAGAACACAGACCTGCCCCTGGCATGTATCACTCTACTAGAAATGCTCAGGTGATCCAATGTGAGTTAGTGGTTTAGGGCCATTTGAGATGTGGTGGTATCTGTTGGGAGATGGAGAGGAGTAACTGGGGTAGAAGGCTGGAACATCTGCATCTGTCTCCAGTTGACAGGGGCTTTTTCAGCTTACCAAGATGACTGTGGCTGAAATTTTGATCCTTGACTTGGTAAAACATTTCTATGCAGAAAAGCTTCTGGAAGTTGTCAAACTTTCCCTTAGTCTTTCAGACATTGATAAGTTTTGAAAACAGGTACAGGATTGTAACCAACTCTTGCAACTGATGCTATTCAGAATCATTCTTCTGTTCACTTCCCCCTTTTAAATTAGAAGACCAAATCCCTGTATGTCTATTTATTGGGGTTACAAAGTTCTCAGAGAAGACATTGAGTACAGTGTGCCTGCACACAGCCTGAAACAAGAGCTCTGAGCAAGGTGTGAACCGTCTCATTCATCTTAATGGGGTGTTAACTTCAAAACCTCCTGCTGATAATTTAGATATCAACATTTTTAACTATTTCTTTGCTGATCATTTAAGCAGAAACTTCCAGTTTGTGTTTATATCCTATCCTAAACAGCTGTCCCGTACCTTCTCAGGTGCCAAAAATCTCAGCTGCACAACATCAGATATCTGCCAAAACTTTCAGCTCCCTGCTGACAGTGGCAATGAGGATATTTCAATACATAATTCTTCAATTGTGAAAATTAAAAAAGGGAATAATCTCCATTTATAGCAATTTAACAAAGGAATATTGTGCAGACTGGATTAGCTACTCAAGTGTAAATGAAAGTCCTCCCTTTTAATAAAGGTTGTGAAGCAAAAACATCACAGAATTTCCAGATTTAAAGCACCAGATCATCTTGCTGCAGAGCTTAATATGACAAACGTGTATGGGACCATGACTGTGAAAAACACCCTCTCTGTATGCTTGGTTATAAACTTTTTTCTGCTTTCTTCTTGACTATGAATCTGTGGGTCCAAATGTTGTTTTTTATAAAAAATATCACACCTTAGGCTACCTCTGTAAGATTGAAAAGTGCAATTTGGTACAGCTGCATTAATTCACTTCACTTTGTATGAAGGATGTGCCCTAAAATGGGGGGGGGGGGGGAGAGAAAAAGATGTTACACAAACACGTTTTTCAGAAAAATATGGAAGTGCTGACTTACAATCAGCATCTGCGAAAATAATGTTTGGGCTTTTCCCACCCAGCTCCAGTGTAACTCTCTTCAAATTACTCCTTCCAGCTGCTTCTTGGATCAGCTTCCCAACCTGAAAGGAAATGGAGACACATTTTACAGGGAACGTAGTCGTAGAGTTCACTTTAACAGCCAAGACTGGCTATCACCAGAGCAGAGCTTTAACCAGGCCAGCAGGTTCTTCGATCCAAACACATTCATCAGCTTTCCCTTTTTTCCCCTAGAAACTGAGAGGGGATAAGGCACAGCACAAGTGTGTGTACCCTTTACCCGTTTGTATCTATGCTAAAATGGCTTGGGGATTTCTTTTAGGGGGCTTTAGCAGGGCTAAATGAAAAATTTGAAATTGGTGCAATTAGAATTTCTTCCATCCAAGCCACTGACAGGTTCACAAGGTTTAATATGTCGAGTTGTGATGAAATCATCCTCCTCCCCTGCAGGATTAACAGCACATAACAAAATACCAAGTAGGGCAAGAAGTTACAAAAGCACCATCCCAGATCTGACCTGCAGCTGCACCAGAGATAATCTTAATATGGGTTGAGGAGGTCAAAAGCACCTCCAAAATGTCTTTGTAGATTGTGGGGTCAGCCGGAGCAGAATGCAGCCCCCTGGCTGGAGCAGCCACAACCACAGATCTCACCAATGAACATGAGAGTAGATTAAATGGAGTAGCAATCTGACAGCTACGTGTTTGACGTGTTTCCACATCAGTACAGTCAGACAGGCAGCTGTGCTCCCTGGAAATTCTTCTCTCCCTGGATCAATAAACCCAAAACATGTTAGAGTTTATACTGGTGCAGTGTAACCGTGCCTATTTTGCAGCTAAAGAAGTAATCACAGGTAGATTTAGACTCCTACATGTTAAAACATGGGATTAAAAGTACCTATGGAATATTGAGAAGCCTGAGAACCTTGATAAGTGCTTTCTTTTAACATGTTCTAATGTCACACAGAGAATTAGATGTGAAGTGAGATGGGAGTGAGTCCCGAGGTGGATTTTTTCTCCAGTTTCTCTATCTGTTTTCTATTTCTAAGGTTATGTGAGTGAGATTTCCTGCAGCAAGGGGTTAATGGATGAGAAGCTGAACCTCTCAGAGAATTGAAGGCAGTCTGCTAGAGAAAGTTAAGTCAGCACTGGAGTAATCAGAAGGCAAATGAAACAGAAACCAGGGCCCCCAAAGAAAAAAAAACAAAGCAAAACCCCCACAGGATAATGAAGGAGTTGTCAACCACTTCATGTACCTTTGTGATTAACTGTTTATCTGGTGATACCACAGTTGAGTGTGACTGAGGTTATTTCTTTCTTTTTTTTTTTTATTTTAAGAAAAGCTATTTTTCTTTATCCAAGTATTGATGGAATGGAGTGTTGACATTATCATGAAATTCCTTGCATATCCCCTTAATTGGAGCTGATTTTATTGCTATGTTTGACTGACAGCCAGAAGTGAACCTGAAAAAGAAGGACCCTTTCTGCCTTCCACCCCCACCTCATACATCGAGCACGTCATCTGGAAATTCCAGCCTCTCAAACTGTGCTGAAAACTTACACTGCAGAGTTCTGTGTTTATAGCCAGTGCCAGCCAATGCCATTCACACCCTCACCGCCTTGAACCTCCCTCTCTCAAAGAACAACAACCACCCATTTCCCCTCAAAAATTCTCAGGGAAGCCAGAGAGCAAAGTGTGCAGCCCTCATCTCTCTGCCTTCTACTTTCATGTCAAAACAGTTTTGTACATGTAAGTAGAGATTTCTAAAGGATTCCATGCAAATAAGTGATAGGCAAATTGGCAAGTCCAAATACGGTGTATACGGCAAATATTAAAGTCCAAAGGGCTTGGAGACAAAGGTGTTATTTTGGAAAAGTATTGTCCAGAGTATTTTTAATACTGACAAGTTGTTGTCAAGTTTCCAAGTACAAATTTAATAGAAAGCTTGACTCTGTCCTTCCCGTTAGAAATCAGTGTAAGCATTTTTGTTCACTGCGCTCCCGTTGTGCCCTGTGCTCTTACATTTCTTAGGGAAAGCACCAGCGCTGTGGTTATTTAGTGACAAAGGCGGCCTTTTGTGGCCGACCCTCTCTTTATGGAGAGAGACAGCATGAAAGGGATAAGTGATAGTGTTGCAATCTGCATGGCCTTTCAGTACACGCTTCCTGCGGTGTCTCTCAGCTCTATCCCCGAGCTCCCAATAGGCAGAACAGCCTTGCAAGGGAACGCTGGAAAAGAGGACTCCCCCACAGATAATGGAGCTGTGCGATTATTCAGCAGGAATGTTGGCAGAGAAAGCCCTGACTCCCCATCCTTGTTTTGAATAGGCTTCAAGATTGATATCAGGAGTATCCCTGGATAGCTTGTGAAGTACCATAACCTTGTAAGCTGCACGGAGGGTGAGGCAGATGTAATTTGGCTTGTTTCAAAGAAAACAATTTGTTATGCAGAACAACAACAACAACAAAGATTAAAGAAGCATTTTGAGGCACCCCTGTGCAAGAAAAGCTATGTGAAGAATAGTCCTGTAAGGGTCTGTTTCTGGATTGGGAAGGGTATGACGTTAGGCACTGAGAGTGTATCATGATCTAATACATTTGATTGTTGCTTGTTTATGCCTCCTGTATTTGGAAGTTTATTGTCTCTTTCAAGGAGAAGCTTAAGCAGTCATATTTTAAATACTTTGTGCAGAAATGAAAAAAAATTTGTTGCTTTTCATGTTCTCTTAATTTTCTATTTTCTGCACACGTGGGTTTGCCTGTTACTGTTAAAGCACTAGAAGTCTCATGAGTCAAAAGCAAACCTCCAAGGTTTGTGGTACTTCCTCTACAGCTCTGTCATTCAGAATGTCTCAGTTCTCCTCTGAACCTTCTTTTGATCACAGATACACAGTAAATCACTAGGGAACACCTGAATGTAGGGGAACAGCAGTCTAGCTGAACAGCAGGGAATTTTCTTGCACACTACAACAGACCAGACAGTCAAGGTAACACAGGGAACTCTGTAGATTAAAAGATTCCATGGACAGTGCAAAATTTGACAAAGGAGACATACATCATCAGTTAGGCATTTTAAATAATACCTTCAGTGCCTTTCTTGGGATATTGAGAGAATATCTGAAGAACAGAAATTGCTTTAAGTTACAAGAGATGGATTAAGTTTTGGGGAGATGGTATGACTAGACAGAAATTTTCTGTGTTTTCTGAAAGTACAGTTTTCTCTCTCCAGCTATTGAGGCATTTGATGTCAGTGTTTTGGCAAAACCTTCAAACCCATGCTGCTGTCTCATTTTTTATAAATTCCAGATTATATGCATAATCTTTTTGAGAAGCATTTTAGAACCTCATGGCATGTTCAGGGTGTGTCTCCAGCAAGGACAAGCAAATTTGAAATACCAGCAGCTTTGTCTGACTGTGCAAAGCCCTGTGTGAGGACCAGCCCTACAAAGAGTGTAGTGAATAGTGCAGCACAAGTGAAAAGGCAATCCCAATCAGAAATTCCCAGAGAGAATCCTAAACTATAAATGGCTCATTTGTTCTTTGGATTAAATCCTGGCCCCATGAAAGTCCATGACTAAACTCTTGTTAATGTTGATAGGGCTGATAGGCTGTTTGTACTGATTTTAAGAAGGTGAACCCTTTTGACATGTATCTTTTGTGGGCAAAGAGGCACAACAGTTGCCCAAGGACAGCTCCCTAAATGCTACCAAAAACACCAAGGAAGGAAAAGGGTAACAACTGCTTCTCATTCAGGAAGCACAAGTTGTCCAAGTTAGGATCAAAAAGATTCTGCAGAAGCAGGAATGAATGCTAATGTAGCCTTCCTAAATCGTTACGTGGGGCATGTGTGTAGCATCCTAAGCTCACAGACTTCTCAGGATGGGTCAAGTCACCTTTAGGATTCTTGTTGCTAAGGTAGAAAATGCCAGGATGCAACTCTTCGTGATGCCTAAAACCAGCAAGAGATTGTGTGATCCAGGAGAGCTGACACAACTCACTGCTCATGCAGTAGGTAGACATTCTGTCTACATCATGCATTGTGACATTCATCTCACTTCAGAAATGAAAGGAGAATCCTGCTGAGTAAATTAGAATCAGTGGTAATACAGCTGTTAGCTACAAACATTTGTTTGGCATGAATCAATCTTGACTCTCCCGTAGTTTGCTTTGATGGTCTCTCTAGTATCTTGTTGACTAATGATGAGATCATGGTTTGTTAATCTAAGTGCATAAAGAAAACATTCTGCCAAGCAAAATGCAGACTCTTTTGCTGGGGTTTATTGCAGTTGTTTATAGACCTTTTGTTTACACAGGCATCCAAACCAATTTGTTGGATATTTATTTGGGTTACTCTGCAGAACTGCCTGAACACAGACTTGAATCCCATCTTAAATCTGTCTGCATTTTAATGGGTTGTAGTTTGAACAAAGTGGAAACCAACCACTTAGGATGCATTTCTTGTTGGCCAGAGCTTCAAATGTTTTGTGTGCTATCTATAATTCTCATCTTGAGAGCCTTTAACAACTGGAGGGAGTTGTAAGCCACTCTGATTTGGAGGTTACACATTTGGTTTTGAACAGAAGTTATTAGAACTCATTAAACTTTTGCAACAATCAAAATAGAATTTTTAATCCAAGCACTGCTTTAAATGCACATTTAAAAAAATTTATAACTTCTTGGTCTCTATAATCATCTCTAATTTTAGACCCAGAACATACCGCATCCAACTACTCCCTGTGCACCAGGAACTTATGTTCCCACACACAGTTCCAGTTCAGATGGAGCACACAGGTACAGACATGGGCAGACAGCTCAGAGCAGTCAAAATGACTGTATTTGCAAAGCCTTGACTGAGCTCACAGATTTGAACTGAAATAAAGGTAAATCAAGAGTAAAGCAGCTTCTGATGGCTGCTTTTCTTTGCTATTTGAAGGCCTCTCACCTTTTCTGCATAACAAAAGTTCTTTCAGAGAATAAGAAAGTAATGTGAAGAACTTCTCTGGGTTTCTGATACGTGTAAAAATTGTCCCCTCATCAGCACTTTTTCTCAGAAATACATAGGGCCCACTGTTCCTTTCACTGGGGAAGAGACTCGTATAATGTCTCCTGTAGTTCTGAGCTCTGCAGCCCAACAGCAATCACCAACATTTCCCCTCAGTGTCTGGGTGAGTCAGACATCCTGAGTTTGGATCTGTTCTTAAACTCAGAAATTATAAACAACTGAGTTTATTTTAATTAAATCATTGCTACTAAGTTTTTCAGAGGAACTCAAATAGACAAGAATGCGTGGAACAGTGAAGAAGCCAAGGCAGAGGGGGGCAGTGTAAAAGGAAAAGGCACTTACAGTGCACAAGAGGGATAGTGTGGGAGAGAGCTAAGCTTTACAGAACCTCTCCCATGGGCCTGGTGAGTGCAAGTTTCACCCTACAGCTTGGGACCAGAAAGATCAAGGAGAAATTCAGTCAGATGTAATGAGAGATGTAAATTGATTATGGGCTTTCAAGGTAAGGTAGGAAAGGGATAGGAGTGACTGTTGACATGGTCCTATTAGCTGGAAGAAAGTTCAGTTATGGCAGTTTAAGTTTCATCTGATTGTGGAAGATGAGGAAAAAATGTGCTTGTGAAGCCTGAGAGGAGATTGTCGTAATTAAGGGGGATCATGGATTAGCCCCGGTTCACTAAAACCAACACAGGAAAAATAAACATTTTTGTTAAAATACCTGAACCAAACAGGCTGCTGAAGAGTGAGAACCAAAGCAAGCAGAGAAGCCAAGAAAGCTACTGGACTCTAAGAAGGCACAGTATTTTTAGGCCTGCTTTCATACTTAGTATGATTTTATTTCTTTCAGTATGACAGTTGGCAGAGTGAGGTCCAGAGCCTGCCAGGTGTTTGTAGAACCCTTCCTAGTGAGCAGTGGAGTTTTGAGAGCCATGCACTAGGGGACTGGGAGAGGAGGTAATCCATGGGAGAAGGCATGAAAAAGCAAGAAACAGGCAGGCTAAGGGTTGAAAGAGTTGGCAGACTACTCTTTTAGTGTGGGGAAGCTAACCATAAAAGGAGGGGACAGCAGGAAAGAGGGAGAGAGTGAAATCAAACAGTAATAGAGCTCTTTATGATTTTTCACGTATTATTTGTGGGGGAGAGTGTGGAAATAAATAGTAGTATTTTTAAAAAAAAATTCAGAGCACTAGAGAATCTAAAAAACAGAGAAGAGAGTGCACACTGGACAACTCATAAATTAGAAATTAGAAGCATAAGTTCGAAGTCATTTATGTGTTGTCATTGCATAGGCATGGGCTTGAAGCCTCCTAATAGGAGTTTCAAGAGGTACTGGACCAATGTCCAGGTGACAAGGCCATTGGTGCCATTAAATACAATTGTCCACATGCACCTTTGGGCTCAGGAAGTCTGTAAGTTGTTGATTTGCCAGAAGCTGTGAGGCTACAGCAAGGAAAGGATCACTCTACACATGCTCCCTTCTTCTGTGAGCATCTGTTACTAGTCACGCTGCAAGATAAGGTGCTGGGCTGGGTGGCTCTTTGGTGTGACTGTGTCAGACTTTATTGATTTAAGGTCGTGAACTTGGCCTTTTGGCTCATATTTCTATGGATTATGTTCTACACATTTTGGAAAACATTAGCATTAAATTTTTTTGTAGGAAGAGCAGCCTGTTTTCTGCCTTTCAAGAATATTGCAGGAAATAGATAATAATAGCCTGGTTTAGTGATTTTTACAGGCAAACGGGGAGTTTTCGTTGGCCATCGATATATACTTCAAAGGTAAAGAACATATATAAAAGAATCTCATAGCGAAAACTTGAGAAAAACCTGTGCTTCGGAATCTGAGCTTGGAGATCTTTGCTTTTGTACTGATAGCTTTTATCATTGACTTGCTCAAGTTGGAAGTATTAACTGCCTTAACCAGCACCTGGATGGAATGGGGGAACGGAAGTTAATATTGTGGTGTTTATATACCTAATGGCTGTAGGAAATCCACATCACTGGAGTGCACAGTTGACACGTCTCAGACAAGCACCAGAGAGACAAAATTTTTCCATTATTATTTCAGTAGAAATTGAAATCTGTTTTGGAGAAGTCAGAGACTCTATAGTCCAGCTCGTATCAGAGCATTGTGTTTAAAATGTTACAATGTTGACTTGCTGTTACAAAAATTCAGTGTTACAGGAAATCAGAAACAATATGGAATAGTTTACACTAACTCTGCATTAAAACGTTCCATCTGTTCTTGCTTTAGGTTCTTAGAGAATTGCTTTTTCATCTCTGTAATGCTTTTCACTTCCTATTAGTAAGGCTTTTAAAGGTAGGCACTGAGTTAGTATAAAACCCACAGCTTTTGAGTTTAAACGCCTATTAAAACTAAAGCTGTCTGGAACTACAATAAAAATTTATTTTGGCTACAAGAGACAACTTTGAAACCTAACCCATCTGTATTTTTCCTCCTCCAAACAGTGCAACATCCTGTATAATAGAATATTTATCTTAAACAGAGACCACATATCTTTATGAAAACAATTGTTTCAACTTAATTTATGGGGGGTAATCAGCTCATATTAAAGTTTTCGATATTCCAGGATGCTAATGTTAATTGGTTACAGGAGATGTAATGACTAGAGTAATTCCACAGAATAATCTGAAATCTGATGTAGCCATTGACTTACAATGTAACCTGTGTGTAGTAGAATCTAAAATTGCCATCAAAAAATCATGTACAGGCATATAGTAATTGCAAAACACTTGTGTGCAAATTAGGCATATGACTGCAGCTACATTTTACTGGTAATTTAGGCTTGTGTGTGACTTCCAAACTCAAATACAGTATAATTCCCCCAGAATAATTTATTTGAAATAATTGAGCTGGTCTCTGCAATCCCTGGGTCCACCAGGGAGATACCCACACATATCTAGTAGGGCTGCTTGGTCAGTGAATTTATCCGCTCAAATCAAAACCCAAATTGCCTCACTGTGAAGAGCAGCATCCCTGGGACACATAAAGCCTTCCACTGCCACGAGTGGGAGTCAAACATATCAAAGAGAGACTGGATCCCTGGGGTTTAGCTCCCTCCATACAATAGTTTGTCAGATTTTGAATTGAAAAGGGCTGGGTTTAGCACTCTCTAAATATAACCAGCCCTGAAACTCCCACAGAGATTCCTTTCTGTCTGCCTTCAGACAATGAGATAAGGCCCCTTCTCCTGTGACTTCAGTCTGGAGTACCTCTGTCATCCCCACCCCAGCCCTGATAACAGCCAGCTTTGCACATATTTGAGAGCAAGACGTGATGTGAGTTTTGAGGGTTAGTCTTTCTGTAGATTGCAGCCTTCATCTTCAGGGTGAGCCTCCTCTGTAACATCTGCACCAGAGACTCAGTGCAAGACATTTTGGCATCCAGGACACAACTGACTCCCTTCATCCTCTGGCCAGCTTCTTTCCATCATTTTGGGAACAGATACCTTGGACAATCCCTTTTTCTCCCTGCATTCCTTCCTTTTTAGACCTCCTCCTCATCCTTAATATACTCGAATGCAGCATCACAGTTGAAATATCTTTGCACAGTTTGCCCCTTTCCTCTCCCCTTTTCCCCAAGTACAGCAAGATACACAACTTATGGCTTTAAAAGCAGCATTTATGTGTGCTATGATATAAACGGGATGTTCTGCCTACTTGCATGTGATTCACATCCTCATAAGCCCACAGGAAATCCCAGCAATATTTTTCCAGGCATATCTCCTGTGCTGAGGTGCCGAGCACAGCAGGGGCTGGAGGAAAGGAGCCATTTCTGCTTGGGAAGTACTGCAGTACATAAGTTTAGCTGGGAAGGACAGACCGCTGTTGTTCAGGTGTAGCTGTTTTACTCAGTGACAGTAAGAAATGTAGCACAAGAACTGAAGTATTTACTCACATTTTACAGCAATATACGTAATATGTGTGAATCCTCTTACCTCAGTGGATCCAGTGAAAGCAATTTTATCAATGCCAACATGGGAGGCAATGGCTGCACCAACAATTGGACCAAATCCTGGCAAAATATTGACAACTCCTGGAGGAAAGCCAGCCTGTCAGAATAGGAATGAATGATGTAAGCATGACCCATGGAAACTGATAGAGCACATCAAACCAGGCGTGTGCTGGGAGTTCCTTCCCTACAAGGAGAGACAGAGACATGATTCCTGTCAATTATTCTTACCTCCTTGATGAGGGCTCCCATATAGAGAGCGCTAAGTGGTGTTTGTTCTGCTGGTTTAATAACTACTGTATTTCCACAGCACAGAGCTGGAGCAATCTTCCATGCAAACATCAGCAGGGGGAAGTTCCACTGCAGGGAAAAAAAAAAAGTTGATAGATGGAAAAATATTGCCGTGGTGTTTTGTTTTCAAGATGTCAAGCTGCTACCTCACTTATTTCTCAGGCTGATCCTTAGCATAAATCTTTCCCAGCACAAAGCAAGGATTTTTTTTAATTACTGCTATTAAGAAAGCAACAACAGTGACCTTTCAGTTCTTTCGCTCCTGTTCAAAGAAATAGAACCCCCACCTACAATCTCCATAAAAAATATTCTGTTATCTGTTCATCTTTTTTGGTCACAATTTTTTATTTCACTTACTTGTTTTGCAACTGGCACTTTTAATTCCCCCATGACAAATAGATCCCGCTTCTGATACATTTGGAAGGAACTGTTCGTTCATGTTGAAGCATTTTTGGATGTAAATTTCCTATCCCTGAGTACATCTTAAGATAAAAAATTTATACTCAAAATTATATAATCCTTGATTGATGGAGTTACAATAAAAAGTCCATAAATGTCAATGCTCAGTCAAAACATTTTATTTTCTTGAAGTCTTCTTACTAAGCAATTTATATGGAAGATGTTAAGAGAACAGAAAAAAACAATTTGAGAAACTCTTTGATGATATAAAATTCTGCATTGTCATTTGATTTCAACTTCATTTAACTGCAGCAGAAAATGTAGTGTATTATGTTATTTTGATGCACAAACACATTGTGGATAGAGATAAAAGTAACGAGCCTTTCACATCAAGGCCTGACCCTAACAGGTTAAGTGGAAATGCCAGAGTAATAAAATAACCGTGTTTGCACAATCACTCTTATAAATGCATACAATAATCCCCTTTGGAAAGAGAATAGAAAATATCAGTCACAAATAGTCAGCCACTGGCCAGAATGTGTTACTGCCTGATGCATATCAGCTGCCACTCTCACAGACATCTCTCTAGCCCCTGGCTAACTTGAAAAAATACACAACTGTCTTTCCTTCACCGAACACCCAATTTTTTACTCCCTCTGTTGTTTATAAACTCTGGAGACAAAGTGATGTTTTAATTCCATCTCCAGTATATAAACCTGGGAGGGGAGCTGTAGGGCCAGCAGTGTGCTAACAGCCTGCACTTCTAATGGTATTCAAGGAGAGCTTGGAGGAGTTTTATAGGGCAATATATAGCCCTGTTTATGCTACAGCGCTGCTGAAGAGCATGTCTTGATGGAAGCTGGGATGTGGAAGAGGATGAGGAGTTTAGTGCTAGGCTTGCTGTTTAATTTTATTTTTGTAATAATGTATTTGCCGGTGCAATGGCCAGGGGCTGTACCCTGTGACTGGTAGCTGTGGAGGAAGTACATAAGAGATTAGCAGCAGTGTTAGAATAGCTTTGTGTGACAGCCATCTTAAAGTTTTGGAGGACAAAACTGAGGGGAAAAATAAACATGCATGGTAGATGGCTGGGAACCCTGAACAAAGAGTTTTACACATCTGAACTAAACAAATCCTGGTTTGGGCGTGATCTCCAGCCTGTGGCGGAATTTCTTCAACAGATCTGTCAGTTAAACTCAACGAGACAAGCCTAAGAGGTGTCCGGCAACACTGGGGCTGTCATTTAGCAAACCCTCATCCATATGCCTGGCTGGAGAATGGGGACAGAGCTGTGGAATCTTTCATTCATAAGGCCCAAGTTAGGAGAGTATGTAGGTGTTTGCAGGACGGGCACAGTCACAGACTGTCTGAGGCTGAGCGTGCTTCTCTGGGTTTCTACCGAGTGCTGAACACAATGGCCACCCCTTAACAAAGACATGAAATAGCAACAATATAAATAGGGAAAACAGGCTCAAAATTGTTAAAATAATCTTTTTTGGCTGCTCCTTTTGTAATGGAATTGCTGCATGTTGCTGTTTAGTGGCTTTGTGGTTAACATGAACAAAATAAAAAATCAGCATCAACAAAAATTTCAGAGAATGTCCTGATTAGTCCCCCAGTGCTTTGTCAAGAATAAAAGCATCCACACGATATTTTATTCGCTATATGTGAGCCTCCCATTGAAATTTCTGCCAAAGCTGGTTAACTGGTTCTTCTGAAAAAGTTACCCTCTCAGTCCAATTCCCATGTACTGTTCAACAAGATTTTATTAAGGGTGTATATTAGGGTATAGGGGCAGTATTGGGTTTGACAAAATGATGTGTTTCTCTCTCACAACAAATAAAACAAACATTTCATGTCTTTTATTAGCTACACAATGTTAATTGTAATGATATGTCTCCTGGAGTTTCCTTTTCTCCTCCAGCCTTGTAAAAGAAATAGCAGGAAAGAATGGAATTAAAATACATCACATTCTCCCAGGAACTGAGGAGCCTGTTAAATCACAGTAAAAACTAAATAAATAGAAAGACTACCACAGCAAAGCATCAATTTTCCATAAGTTGTGTGAACATCCATAACCACTGACAGCATATTAACACTGTGTTTTGCTTTGCTTGTTTTAATCATGAGAATTCTATGACTTGAGAACTTAACTCCTAATAACAGAGCCTAAACCCTATTAGCATGTTCAAATAAGCATTTGCAGGGAGGCTGTTAAAGATATGTCAACAATATGAGCTCAGCTTTTTTCGTAATGGAAAACACACATAGCTGAGGACCGTGTTTTATGTGTCTTTAAAGAGAGCTGGTTCAAATGAAAATAAATAGAAAGCGCTAGTAGAGATACTCACAGGGATGATCTGTCCACACACTCCGATGGGTTCATGTCTTGTAAACGTAAAATAATCTCCATCTGAAGCAGATGAGCATGGTTACTCTCAAGTGCAGTTTGACTTGGCAGAACAAAAAAAAAATTAAAATAGAGGGGGAGAAAAAACTCTAAAGATCAGCCTTTGATGGCAGTAAAAGAAATAAAGAAGTCATGGAAGTGTTTTTTCGTGAGCCAGCATGGGAAACCTAGGTTCAGGAGCAACCTAATTGTTCTTTCTGTAGAACAAAGGGAGCAGGCATCCCATCAGAAAGCAACCTGCTTTGTTCCTTGGGGAAGAGAACAAGCTGTACAGCACAAAAAATTGCAGTAGCGTGGAAGCCACTAAATGGCCTCAGCTCTCTAAGGGTGAGAGAAGTGAAGGAAGAGTCACAAAGGCAATTTCCCGAAAGGCATGACTGGAACACAGCAATACAAAGGTATATATGGAACCAGATGTGGGACAATAGAGTGACACACGTCCAGGTCATCTGCCACTGGGGACACAGGCAGTTTGAAGGGATGGAATGATACACCACAACCTGTAGATGTGGAATGAAGGGGACAAGTTTGTGACTTGTGTCACTGCAGAAGACAACATTAATGAGTATACAGGGGTCATCACACAGCCATGCTTTCGCAGCTAACTTGTACAAGGCCTGTGCCAGAAATGGCCTGGAGCTCAGTAGGCAGCCAATTTAAGTTGACAGGACAAAGCTGTAAGCCACTAGAAAACAAGACAACAGAGAATAAGAAGTTTTCACAAACCTTTTGGGTAAGGTAGAGGTGAATAAATGAAGGGATGAACATGAAGGGACCTAGTCACTGGAAACTTGGAAAATATGAGCTTTTCTTGATGAACTTTTGACAGAAATAGGAATATGGACTAAGGTCCTAACAACAAAGTGCAGGAAAAGCAGACTGTATAGTCACAAACAGGGGGTGTGGATGGCATGAGGCTGTAGGGAATTACTTAATTAACTCTCTGATCTGGTAACTATTTTTTAAGGTCCTGATGAACAAAAATGGCAAAAAAACTCCAGGGGAGAGAGGTATCACTAGTTAAAGTGAGTGCTACGTGAGACTGGCAGTCCTTAACAACTGTTGAGCTCAGGGCAGCCTGAGTCAGGTCAAGGAATAAACAGATTTGTGATTTGGGGTCAGGCCTGTGGTCTGTGGGAGCCACTCACATGGCCCCTGCTCCGAGCAGCCCATTCAGCACAGCTGGGACAAGTGACTGCCATGGGGGCTGATGGAAGTTCGGGCTCTTTCACAAACTGCACGTGGTCTGGGAGCACATGCTGAGGTTACACAGGCTGAGATACCATGTAGGTTTGTTCCCAGCTGACAAAGAGCCAGAAGACAACCTGCTCTGTGTGAGGACTGGTTAAGGTATCAGTTAAGGGATGGTCTAACCAGTAGCTTTGCTAGTGTGCTTGGCCTTCATCTGCGCAAAGTAGATATACAGCACTTTTGTACCTAAATTGAGTCTTGTAGCTGTATAAACTAACCCTGAATTTAGGTCAGATGTTTTTCGGTGAGGCTATAGCTGAGGCAAGGGCTATGCTAAAGGCATGAGCTGAATGTGCCCCTTGGCCTGCAGTGCTTGGTCATCTAGAAAAACTGGAGTCTCTTAACTTGAAAAATCAAGTATGTGAGAATGATGAGAAGGTTGCAAAGGCTTAATGGCAGGAGATGATTTACCAGGATAAGAAAGGGTCAGACAGCGGAAGGGAGTAAGAGGAGCAGGAGAGATTACAGGGCTTTTGCTCCCATTGTTCTGTCCAAGGCAGGGGTCTGTGCTTTTCCTCCCGGGGTGTGAAGTGTCAGGCAGCCACGGCCTCTGCCCCATTCAGTCCAGAGCTGGAGCCACCCTTGTTCAATACTGGGGAAGGACCTAACTTCACAATGGAGAGTGTGTTTTGGGAACCTGCTGCAATGTCCTCCACCATACATCTGGTAACAATAAACAGGTTAATCTATAAAGTTTCTTGGGTTTAAGAAAAGACTTCAACTTGAATTTGATTAGAAATAACTTATTTTCAGGTCTGCTTATTTCTATCCTTATACTTTACGGGATTTGCTCAGTAGAAATCTGAGCTAATGCGTCAGCTGGGGGCCAGATACAGAATAATTATGAGAAAGGTAACAATAATCTGCATCCAAGACAAAGGACAGAGCAGAGGAAGTAAAGGAGGGAGGGAAAGAGAGAAAAGAGATTCACGTCAGGAAAAGGTGGAAAAAATTAGTTTTCAGTTGGTTTGCTCTGCATCGACAAAACATTGTTGTACCATTTTGATCTCCAGATCAACTTCCCAGTGGAGATGAGAATATCTGTGTCACAGATTGAGATGATCAGTTTGGTTTTCCACGTTATCTTTCACAGATGATAGCAGTGGTCCACAGACCATAGGAAGATTCATCAGCCCAGACAGAAGCGAAGTCGAAATACAGAGAAGTGCATCCAAGCAAAAGCTCAAGAGGCATACAGAGGAGTCAGCTAAAAATACCAGCTGGTACTGGGTAGTACTGAGAGGTGGGTTCTCAGCCAGAAGGGTGGTGGCAACACAACAGTAACACAGTTACGTTAGCACTGTCTGACTTTAGATTGTCACTGCATAATCATTGCCACTTGTCTGCGTGCTTCATAACACAAGTTATAGATAACCTGGACCTGTTTGCCAGCTCAGACAAACGGTGGTTAATCCTTCCCAACGTGGGCAGAACGTTCTTTCCACGGAGCAGCACCTCCCATGCAGAGCTGCTCTCCCTGCTGTCTTCCACTAGACTCCAGACAGCTGCCCTTTTTGACACCTACTTCCAAAGTTCATCATCCACAGACACACTGTCAAGATGGGATTTTTGAGGCTGCTTTCTAACAATATCTTTGGGAACATATGTGACTTGGAGTTATTCAGGAGCCTCAGATGTCTCTGGACAGGCCAAAGATGGATCCAAGAGCCGTGTTGTCCACAGTGTAAAACAAGCCGTTACCATGGTGAAATAACTCAAGAATTAAGTGAATCCCTTATTCTAAACAGTGAGCATAGAAAGCTCCCTTGTGCTTAGAAATTACATAGGAAACTTTAAAAATGTTTTAGAGTTTTAAGATTAGTTTATACAAGTCATGCTAATCACACTTATTCTAAGATGCTATGGCTGATGGTTGTTACTCTTACCCTTTACTAGCTGGCCTCCAGAAGAACATTGCCTGAAAGGAATCTGACACTGATCCCACACACAATCTAAAATTTTGTGTTAAAAGGGTTTTTTAATATTCTCAGCTGATGTAAACTGACATTCTTCAGTCCTCACTAATATTAATAGAGCAAGATCAATTTGCAGCTGCTTAGCACCTGGCCCAAAGACTTTAATTTTTTAATCAGAAAGCAGGCCTCATTTATCCAGGGATCTCACTTTGGGACAGCAATATCTTCCACAGATGTGTTTGCTCAGATTTCCATCAGGAGTCTCCATCCTGGATATTTTATTTGCATAACAACCATCATACAGTCCCATGCCTCATGGAGCAGGACACAGCAAACAAGTGGGTGAGGAGAGCTGAGCTGGTTCTTTGAACTGTATCATATCATATATTGATTTAAAGATACATTTCTGCTTGCATTCAGTTTATTAGTTTAACAGTTTCTAGTCCAGCCTCATTCTGTTTTAATTTAAATCATCAAGGCTTTACGCATGGGAGCAAGCAAAGGGCAGTCTGAAGGTTTTGTAGCTCTGGGACCAAAAGGAATGTGACTGTAAAACGCACTGTTCTTCTTCTACTTGTCTATCACTTGCCTATTTTTATTTTAGAGGAAAAGAAAACCTCAGCAGAAACAGATGAAAGACTGAGAGGTTTCAGATTTATTAGCACACTGAACAGAAAAAGGAGATTTAATAGTGGTTTTATTTTGTTTTTGTTGTCTTGCTTGTTTACCATTGATGAGCTGATGGTAAGTGAACTTAAAGAGCACTGGCGTTGTTCTAAAATAGCTTTATGAGAATGACAAATTTATAGTGTGAAACTAGATGGATAAGGAGGAGTTGTTAAAGCAAGAAGAAGAACTAATTGATATCCTGAAAATCTGTGAATGGACTTATGATTCTACACTACTGATAACTGTGTTAGCACAGAGTTTGCATTGAGGAAGGCATGCTGAAAATGTGCCTTCCTTTTGCCCAGCAGAGCCCTCCTCACTGAAAAAAAAAAATCAATTTTTATCCTATACAGTAATTGAAAAGAATAAGCAGAGGATATTTATTCTCCTTAACCTGGTAATGGCTTTTGGTGACTGACCTAATTTCTGTGTACCTGCAGGGCTAAGGAGTGAGAAGGAGGCGTTCAGTGACCAGGGAGTAAGAGATTAGGGGACAGGAAATTTGCTGAATATACGAATTTATGGTGTGGTCTGCACTTTTGTATGATTAAATGTGAAGTGCAAGCAGCAAAAATGGGATTTACGAATCTCAGCCTAAATGACTGTGGAAATCTTTGAGTCCTTGCGGGAGAGTCTACACCTGAAATAATAATATTGTCATTTCTTTGGTGAAAATAAACTAGTGCTGATAAACACACTGCAGTTTTAATAAGGTGAAACATCACAATGAGTAACATTGCAGTAAGAGTTACATGATTTGTTTTCCTTCTGAAAATTTTGGGGGCACATTTTCAATTTATCTGCTTGTCTGTCTTTGATAGTTTCGTGCTTTGCTGTGCAGAGGCAAATGAGTGCACTGTAGACATCGTGTTACACGGTGTAACACCAGGGAAATATGTGGGCAACACCAAAATCCATTTACCTGGGAGTGTGACTAACATGCTTGTGCAATGAACAGTGTGCACCATGAAACCAAAAAGAACCCACAGAATGAATGTTCGTTTTCCTTAATATTTTTCCAAAAAATTATTTTATGCAGGTGAAAGATGAGTACATTTATCTTAATGACTGCACCTACAGAAAATCATTCTTTGCTATTTTGCCATTTTGCATAATTAAAGCACTTGGTATATCTAGTCCAGACTGCAAATGAATATGTTTGCATCAGAAAATGCAGCTTGTATTTGTTAAACAGCTGGGAGGGAGGGGCAGGAGGAAGAGGCTCTTTAAATAAAAATAATGGTAAGGATTTTTTCTTATCTCTTTAACAAAAAAGAAAAACATAATAATTTCCTAGAACTCATAAAGATTTATCTCATACATGCAATATAAAACTCATCCCACTGAATAATTTGAAGAAGCATATATAACAAAGCATATCTGATATGTATGTAGTTCTCTATAGTAACATTACTACCTCTCTCAAAGTATAAATTAATTTAGATCCAATGTTAGTCCCAAATAAAATTATTTGCATAAGCAGTAAGAAGACAAATATAAACAAGTTCTATATGTAAACATACTGTTTCTTTAACAGCTACCACTATTTTCATGAGTTCCAAGGTATTTGTCAGGCTTATACTGCACCCATTTTTATAAGTGTGTCAGTATTTAAATGCAGGTATTGAGCTGTCTCCTTCTCAGATGGTCACGTGCAAAAGAAACCAAGCACTCTTGAGATGTGCATGTAGGGCAGAACAATAGCAGGGCATCTTTTAAACATCTCACTTTCAAACATCTGCTTCAGCAACACACTACAAACTGTAAGACCAAACCAAGGTTCCCTTCTCCATTCCATGAAGCTATAATCTGTTAAGCCATGGGGCCATGAGAAGGTTTAGGTGCTTTAATTCCCCTTACCTACAGGAATGGTCATTCCATGGATTTTGTCTGCCCAACCGGCATAATACCTCAGGGTTTTTATGACTCCCTGGAGATCGACGTAGAAAGCTTGCAAGAATGGTTTACCACTGTTCAGGGATTCCATAGTCTGGAGGACAAGAAAAAGGTAAGAGATATAAGCACAGTTACATTTTTGGACTATTGTACTTAAGTATTCACCATCTTAACAGCTCTTCAGTCATGACAGAGATTTTAATGAAGACCAACCAGTTACATCTTGGCATACTTTTACCCCAGAAGTTTCAGAACAGTTATCTGATCCCCTTTGTGTACTTCATTTTGCAAATGTGAACAAAAAGCATTTTCCTTTAAAAAAAAGTGGTTTCTTCTGGAGTATTGTGGAATGGCTATGATTTTAAGAACATGTGTGAGTTTATGTGTGTTTGTTTATCTGTCTGTCTTGTGGGTTTATGTGTGTATCCACATGCATGTACATGTGCCTTTGTGTATTTTGAACCTAATAGCCACTGTGTTTGGTCCAGATCTATAAATGCTGAATTGCTTTAATCAGGAGCCAAGATAAAAATGCTTGTCAAACCAGGTTCTGTTATGTTAATGATAACAGCTGAGAAGGGGCTCCTTGTAACCCCTTATTAATGATCTGAATCCATAAAGAGAAGAATGGACATATCCCTCTTTATATAATTAATGTGAATATAAAAATTTCTCTATATGGCTGCCAAGACTCCTGCTGAGGTCTGAGATATCTATACTGTACAGCCAGTTTATTTATTGCCATCAAATAAACAAACTCTCCTCTAGGGAAGCTCATAAATTAACAAGCTAATGTCCTTATTTTTAAGTTAATATTCCTAGTTTTTAAAAGTATCTTATAAGCTGTCCTCTTAGGGGTTCCTAAGATCAGCTAGCAAAAATGAATCCAATAAAATATCCTAAGATGTTGAGGAGCTTAACTCATTCTCAATAGCTGTCTAAAAGAAATCGTTAAGAATGGGCAAAGGACGCCCATGTGTAACACACCAACCATCAAATGAGTTTCTATAGAGAAGAATGGAGGCCTAATTCTGCACTGACTTATATCCCCAAGAGCAATTAATGGCATTGCCTGCAGTGCAATTCAGCAAAGAACTTGGCTCCAGAAATAAAAATCAAATGACAGGCCGAGTAAACTTGATTTGCTGTGCACTTCCTTTTCCCTGCGGCGATTTTACAGTATGTGCCGGTGGTAAGATGATTTAAGTGTTGACAAAGCTGGAATTAAGATGTTCTCCGGCTTAGTTCAAAGCAGTTGACATGCGGAAAACAACATTAACAATGCCACTGTTTTGATGGCTCCATCCACCAGCGAAGTAGTGCTGTACCCAGAACTCGGGTCCCCGGCTGAGTGCCGGCGAGCGTTTCTCCTGCATTTCGGGAGCGGTTGCACCGATCCCTTAGTCTGGCATTTTTTACTCTACAAAAGTTAGAATTGCAGACACAGACGCGTGTGCACACCCCTGCATCTGTGTGATGTCCAATTAAAAGCTCATTTGAGCCCATTGGAAGGCTCCTGTTGACTTTTATGTGCCTTGGATCAGGCCGTGAGCAGACAGCCAGACATCTCGGCCATGAGGCTGAGTGTGGCTTTCAAATACAACTCATATCAACACATTCGTGAACCAATTTGCTCTCAGAATATAAAACTGACAAATGATTTGACTGTTGATTTTCTTGTGCCACTTACAGCAAGAATTGCCCTGTCTCTCTCAACCAAGTCCGCCAGCTTATCCAAAAGATGGCCTCTTTCCGATGCATCCATTCTCCTCCAAACAGAGCCCAGAGAAAATGCGAGCCGGGCTGCCCTCACTGCTTTGTCCGTATCGACCTGTGAAGAAGGAAGAAAAAAACTGAAGGCACAGAGGTAAATAAGACACCCAGGCTTATGAAATTTGCTGTTGTACAACCTTCCTCATGTGATGGGTTTTAGAACTACGATTAATAAAAGAACTGTCCAACAGTTCTGTCCTGGACTGGTTGCTTTGATCTATTTATACATTTCTATTATCTGTTATTTGAACTATTTATACATTTCATTTATACATATACCCATTCATGGGATGCATTACCTTGTCAGCTTCCTGAATCTCACAGATCTGCTCTCCTGTTGCTGGATTATATACTGGGAATATTCTCCCACTTTCGGAATTCTGCCACTCATTATTGATGAAAATCTAGAAAAGGAAGAGAAGTCATTAGGTCTCCTGCATGAGCAAACTGTGATGTATATAACAACAAACTCCCAGGAAAGGCTGTAGATTCTAATACAAGAGAGCTGAAACTTATTTATGTCTGTGAAAATTACACTTTTCAAGCGTTCAGGCTGAGGTCAGCCCCCATGTCTTTCTGTGTTCTGTAGCAGTGTCACTATAGGAGCAATATCAGATTCCAAATCACTTGGTTAACATTCAAATTTGGTTCAAAAACTGTAACAGATAGACTAAAAACAAGAAGTACCTGTATCAGACAAAAAGCCTTGAAACTGCTGGAGACAAGACAGGGATTTGGAGTAATCATTCAGTTCAGTAAGTAAACATTTGGTCACTGATACAACCCAGTCAAGGCTGAATAATCTCAAACATCACAGTTCTTCAATACACAGTCAGTTAATTATGGCTCCAGTGATGGCTTGCAGCACAGAACTAACTTGCTTATCTACTTGGAACAATGGAAATTGTTAAATTCTCTCGGTGTTGATATCATCTTAATTGTCACGGGCAAAACAAATTTGAATGGTAATGGTGCTGACAACAGCTGTCTTGAGAAAGGTAATGACAAATGAGTTTATTTAAAGTAGATTTTTACTGGTAGCTGTATACATGTCAGTTGTTTCCTACTGAATGACTTTCAAGAACAGGATGCAATTACTTATTAGCAAATATGAAACAAGTCACTCCAGGAAAATGACTAAGTGAAAGTTTTTCCAGGTATTCAGACTCTTCCTGTCTTTTAAATCTTTCTAAGAACAAAGGTGTTCAAAAAGTCCAGGCACCATAGGGGTTTCTTGGAGTTCAGGTATCAATGTACTTTCATTGTATTCCATGAAAAACGACTTCAAATGTGTAAGGGGATGTTCTGGCCTCATTGAAATAAATAGGAATTTTACTCCTTACTTCACTAGAGGCAGGAGTTCACACCCAAAAAGAAGGAATTCACCAGGCTTTTTTTTTTTTTTTTGCATATGTGGCTGTGTTTATAGAGACAGGGACCCTTTGAAAGACTGAGGAGTCTCAGTTCCAATCAGAGATACTCAGGTGGTAGAAACTGGACCATCTTTTTACACAGGAAGGCACAGATATGTCTGTAGAGTTTTCATTTACCAGACATGAGCTTGCTCAACCTATTCTCCAAGCCAAATGGAAGCCCTGTAGCTGTGTTCTTTTCAGCAGGGCTTATTAGCTCAGGCTCAGTGCCACACTAACTGCAGTGACACAGCTTCTGGTTCAGAGCTGCCTCATGTCCAGCTGTCTGAGGACATAGAATCACAGAATCATAGAATCAGAGAATCAGTAGGGTTGGAAGGAACCTCTGAGATCATCAAGTCCAACCCTTGATCCACTACTGCCATAGTTACCAGACCATGGCACTAAGTGCCACATCCAGTCTCATCTTAAAAACCTCCAGGGACAGAGAATCCACCACTTCCCTGGGCAGCCCATTCCAATGCCTGGTTACCCTTTCTGTAAAGAATTTCTTCCTAAAGAAGATGTGTGGAGAGAACCTGTGGCTGCCTGGAAAAGACCCTGGAGGTAGAGCAACTGTACTTAGGAACAATTACGTGAGCTTTTGCTATTATGGATACTTTTGCTATTTCTGTGTTTCCTCTTCTTCCCTGTCCTCCAGCTTCAGCCACTCTGCTGTGTGCCCTTCCACCCACTCCAGTCTGTTCTTTTTTTACTTTTCCCACTCTTTTGTTTAGGTTTTCATAGGTTGCTGAACCCAGGACCTACCACCCCACTACCCTTGCTTTCTTTGTGCGCTGTATTTATCCTGAACCTGTTCATGTCCTTGAACTTTAAGCTCCTCAGGCCGTGCTGGTGTCTTCCTGCTCAGTGATCACAATATTTGGCAAACCCAAGTACTGGTCCCTGTTAGGACATTTTGGAGCTAAACCAGCTAAAATAAGATAGTGAAAGAATCTCCAGTATTATTTCTAGTGATTAACACCATCTGCCAAAATCCTCCAGCGTATTATTGTCACATTTTAGACTGTAAGTGAAAAAAAGAAACTGAGATCTATGACCTGTGTGGGGGAAGGATTTTACTGTCATGCCTTTCATTGAGTTAACTCTGCACCCAGTGTGTGTGGGGGTGCTGAGGAGGAAGGGGAAGGGAGAAAAGCTCTCAGCTTCAGGAGCAGATGGCCAGAGGAGATGTAAGCATGTTTGTTTAAGGTGACAGTACGTACATAAACACATAGGCTTCTCGTGTGAGCTGTACTGAAAGAATAAAGCAGTTCAGCTGAGTACAAGGACCTGAGAAGTCATGGCAACTGCAATTCAGTACTTCCTTTCCAGAAGTCGTCTGTGCTTTTTTTAAAGGATTAAAAAATTCTGACTCCATTCTGCAGGGATTAACACCTATCATCGGGTTTGCTAGTGCATAGGGCATGTATTTGTTCTTAAAATACATTTCATCATAGGAATGAGAAATAGTGCTTTGGAATTACAAAAGAGAGTTGCAATTCAAATCAGCTGGAAGGAAAAGGTGTATTATTTTACTGAATGCTCCATTTATCCCACAGATTTAGAAAAAGAACTGTAATAGTAAATATTTCAGATAGGACATGGGAAGGATCTATTTGGCATAAAGTTAGAGCTGAAGGCAAGAGAAATTGCTACTGTTAATGGTTAATGTTAGTTTCTTCCTGTTCCACTTTCTATAAACAAGGTATTGCCTATACAAGCTCATTACTGTAAACTGAGCACATTTAAATTGGCAGTAAAATCGGAGTATTTACTCTAGTGCACAAATAAAGTACCTAGTCCCATGTTTTGGAACAGTTTCAAGTCTTGAAATCCAGCAGCTGGCGTCTTTACAAGCAAAACCTTGCACTTAAACAATTCACTTTTGAAAGTTTTAGGTGTTCTGTGTCAGGTAGTACCATTCAGCAGATATTCCTACCACCAAGACGCAGATTCTTTTGCAATAAATTTGCATTCATAGGGGCTTTTATAACTCTTCCAGCACTACTGACTCCAATGGCTGTTGATTAAACGTATATATCCTGTACATTTAATCTGACTTTCATTATGGCCACTTCGTAAAAATGCCATGAAATGGAGAAGCGATGACACATTGCAAGAACAAGGAATCCCTGGAAAGCCTCAAATAGGGTTTTTTTCTGCCTTATTTATAGCGACCATGGTGAAGGCTAACTGTAAATCAGGGAGAATATTTGACAGCAAATGTTCCTATCTATGGATTATATATAACCCATCCTAAACGCCAGATAAAAAAGGGGTAACCCTGGAAAAAGAAGGGCTTGCTTCCATGTAAATCATGCTACAAATTGGACAACACCCAGTGAGTTCATTGTTCAACCTCAATTGTGAAGGCTATTCACATTTACTATTCCCCTGGAATCAATGTTAATTAAGGCTGACTTGGGCTATAAATCAGCCTTTGGTTTTTACAACTTAATTCAGCATTAAGCATATATATGTAAATAAAAGGTAACTGATTAACCACTTGAGTTTTCCAGGAGTTACTGAGGTAATTTGTTTTTGTTTGAGTCCTAGTGTTACCTTTTGTGATATGCAGTAAGGAAAAGAAAAAGTGTATAATGTGTCATGCATTTGCTATGTGGTATTGTGGTAGTTAAATAATCTGGCCTGTTGGGTGCTATCAATAGCACTGTGCCAAAATGAAAAGGGAAGGAGGGAGCATTTGAAAAATCTTGGAACACACAAACATTTTGTTTGCCATTTACTCTCAGCAAAGCCAGTAACTGCAGTAATGTCAGAGCAGGAAGATAAAAGGCAAACTTTCCTGCTTTCCTGAGGTGTCCCTGTCAGTGTGATGATTTGGCCAAGGACAAAGCCAACTGGCTAAACAGTCAAGGCCTCTGGTAAGGGAGCAGTTTGGCTGTAGTTGGTGCTCAGTGCTTTAAGGAGGAAAATAAAGACGTTTGTTCCCCTGTGCTGCCTAAGGGAACGTGCAGGTCGGGCAGCAGGTGAGGCACAGGTGGGTGAGGCTGTGTGTGTGTGAGGTGAGGGCATTTCAAACAGGCCCTACAGTGGCACGGACGTGCTTGGAAGCTCCTGGTTGCCCCTGTGAACATGCCCTTGTGAAGTGTCATCATTCTCACGAGAGCTCTTCATAAAGATCTCTTGGCAACTTCTGTTCCTTTCCAAACGAAAGAGGGAGAGGGCATGGGATTTTCCTAAAGAGAACAATCACATAGCTCCTGGTACTGACAATAACCTCTTGTTTTCACACACATGTTCTCATAGATCTTTTGATAGAACTTTGCAAGATTCTGGTCCCACCATGTCTTTGCTAGGTTCAAATTTTGCCTGGGGTTACTCACATACAACCACTGCTGACAGAGTTCCACAGGGAAGCCATCTGACCCACCCTACAGGCCACGTGACTAAGAGCCTTTGAGATACCATATCATACCAAAAAAAATATACAAAGGAAAAGTAAAATTCAAAGTTATCGTGTAAAAATTCCAAGTTACTTTGAGATTGCTGACATGTAGTTGGAAGGAAATCATATATTGCATTTTGCACAAGCCCTGTGTTTCACAAGCATTGAGTGCTGAGTTCAATAGCATTTTGGATGCTCATCAGTTTTGAAATCAAGCCAAGAGTAAATGTTTTTAGCATAATGCAAAGCAAATTAAGCTTTGCAAACAAACAACTACAATGTCTCGTTTAAGTAGCCATCTGTCCAGTTAGCTTACTAATAATTAGCAACTTAATGTTCATTTCAAACCATGCAGGTAATTGGAGTGATAAGCAGTCAAAGAGGAAGGGATGTGTACATCCCAAGGCTGGACATTCTAATCTGCAGTGCAGTAGTAGCAAAATTTAGACCAGGGAGAAAATGCACAGGGTTTTGTTTTTTCAGCACTATTTACCACTGAGAAAATACAAAACAACTATCTTAAGTATAATTAATTTAAATATAGCAGAGAACAAATATCTTCTTTGCAGCTCTTACTTGA